GGTGGGTCAGAATGTAGGCCTTCAAAATGCACTGTTTGTAAATAGAGTAACTTATATGTTTCATGCTTATTTTATGTGCTGTTTAGTGCGTCAATGTCATTATTAATAAATATGTGTTTAAAACAGTGTACCTGATTTATTACTCTTTTCAAAAAAGCTGTGCCAGAGAACAAAAAACTTGTACCAAACTCATTATAATTATAATTAGTAATTATACCAACCCCTCAGGTATATTAATGACATAATCTTTACAATTTGGGGTTGATGCTTATTTCATTTACTTACTGACTAGTCCGCTTGGTCTATTTCTGGTATTCTCTGTTCTGTAACAATCACTTTAACACAGCTTGACACTGTCTCCTGCCTGTCTCAACATGTGTATGAAGGAGGCTGGCCACTGACCTCTTTGGAGGCCCGGAGCTGCTGTAACACCTGGTCTTTCTCAGCCTCCAGAGTCTCGACTCTCTCCTGACAGCCTCGCAGGGCCTCTCTTGCCTCTAGCAGCTCGCGCTCCGCCCGATCTTTCCCCTGGGATCAACACAGACAGACAAAGCATCTGTACCGGGATCACACGGGAACAGCAGGGCCTACACGTGTGCACACAGGTGTTCACTATGCAAGAACAACCCCAGATGGACGCAGACACACAAAAGCCAAAGGAAGAGCAAATTCTACAAAGACTGGTTTCAAATGAAGGAAGAAAAAATACATTAAACATGACAGACTGTATATATAATAAAAACAAGTCACAAAAGATAAAAGAGAAAAGTAACTAAAATGAAGCCACGGTATAAGAACAGGCCTTTAAATACTGTACGTCAGACAGAAACAGCACACAAAAGCTTCACAATCTTTTATAGTTCCATCATTGTGTGAAATGCTCAGGAGAGAGAGACCTCTTTGGCAGAATGTGCTTTTAACATTCTTTATAGCGTCTATGCAGAGTGAGCCCCAAATAAGAGTACAAGAAATATTACAAACAGGTGGAGACCATTTGCTCAGTCTGTGACTCATCAAACATTGGTGCATTCTTTATCACCTAAATGCACCAAGCATGGACCTGAAACAGTCTAAAACAGTGAAACACAGAACAGTGAAGTTAGTTCCTCAGTTCATCCTCCCAGATGAGAACTTCTTCAGCAGCTAGTCTTATGTTTTTACTATTGTTCTAACCATTGCAGCCTTACAGGTTTATGGACACTTCATGAAAAACTGCAGTATTATAATTACAGGTTCAACATGTATTTCTAAATCCCACATTTCTTTTAAAAATATTTTGTTTATAATACACATTTTTAATTTTTCAGATGGTCTGAACACATTTTTCTTTTTTTGGTATTTGTTTTGGAAAACAACACACAGACTGCTCCTAAAGATAAAAGTCAGTCTAGTCAGGGCGTAGTCTAGCGATATTTCATGTTCAGACCATCTGAAATTTAAAAAATGTGTATTATAAACAAGTTTTTTGCTTATTAGGAGTGCAGTATATTTACCAAATACGGATCAAACTATGTGATTAATTGCATCTCCTTCCTTACATAATGTAAACACATTTTGGGGTTATTTTGGCTGTTTCATAAACGAACGTGTACCAATAATAAAACATACTGATCTCTAAAATAAACAATAAAATATGTTCCAGATAATTAAAGCATCACCTTTAACATTCAATGATGTGTGTTGCTACAAGCAGGGACAGCACTGATTAGAAAAAGAGTGAACGCTGTGATCATACGCTGCTCTGTTTGGATTTTATTACCGTTAACTGTCTGCCACAGAATAACAGGTCAAGCACTGACTGTCCTCTGACCTTGCTGCAAAAGACAAGGACCTGGTTACTGAAGTGCTGAAGCCAGAGAGCTGGACTGCCTCCATTCCTCAGCATCACCGAGCAGAGTCCTGCAGAATCCAGCAACATCTTTAAACCACCAACAGTTCAGGACCAGGAAG